CTCGAGTGCACTCTTCTACTACTGGTTTTTCTGATGTCCTTTTAATCGATATCGGTCAAACAATTTGCTGATCACATTCTGAATGATTTAGTCCATCTCCTTAAGCCTGAATTAATTACTACGAAGACTTCCTGCCCAGCGCGGGCGACAGACAGTAAGCCAAATTGCCGAGTAATTTACACGCCTAGGATTAACAATTTAGATGAAATCACAGCCATTACTGACTCAAATGCGGACTAACAAGCCATCATCACATCAATAACGAGACCCGGCGATGAACATGGATCATGTGACGCCATGGCAACTGCGTCCTATAGATACTGCGCTCCTCACACCTCTACCAGCCTTATCTGCGACTGTCTCTGATGATGGGTTCGAGGGAGAATCCGAAATGCCAGGCCAATCAAATTCTTGTTCCAGCGACACCATGTGCTTTTTCATCAGACCTGTCAATTTCGCCGAGCTTATACCGGCTGATCGCCGGGATCACCTGCTTTCCGCACAGAAAGATGGCAACTTTCCAGACCAAATGACCTGAAGTACTGGGCCACTTCAGCGTTCGCGTGAAGTATGCTTCTGGCTCAACGTTGTCTCAGACCGCATGTTGTCAAGGAGACGCGACCTGCGAGTAAGCACAATGTGATAATCCAAACCTCAGTGCCTTCGCTAGCGGATTGGTAGTTTTGCGGGGCTCAATCGCGACGAAATGTGCAGTGAAATAATCTGTTGAGGAGCGAATGTTCCAATCTGTCTGCCTGAACCATCTGAACCAAAGTCCGGTGGCTGTCGCTGACAGACAGGACTCTCCGCTGGAAGAAGTACTTTGTCCAGCTTCGAAATCCTCACTTGAAGTCCGGTCTGTAGCGGCTAAGCGGTGATGGTTTATACTCAGTACGCCACAAGTTCAGGCCATATCCCAAGTTGTAAGAAGCGTGACGCCAGTTGGAGAAGATGATTTATTTATTCTGTACAGAAGGACAGGGGAACGTTGGCAACCGAACGAGGGTGCGCACGACGCCGCGGAGGAGGCGTCCGTGAGAGCGACGAGCCGTGTGTCGCCGAAGTTCGCTGGCTGCAGAAGTATCGTGACAGATTGTTTACACAGTGGTCTAGACCGTGTAACCAATCAGCAAGAGGAGTTGTGTTGATTGGCTCAGAGCCCACGCGAAGGTAATGACAAGCCTCGCATAGTGCAGGCAGAGAATCAACCAGATGCGTTGTGCGGACAGTGCATCGCAACGAGACAAATCGAGGTTGGGCAGACGTGCGCGCCATAGCAGACTGTCGCTAGGGCGTAGGTGCAGGCGCTAGCGAGAGATCTGACGCTGTCATTATGGCTGTCCACTACAGGTCTGATGGCATCTCCGCACCCGAATGACTGTGATTGGAGACGACCATCTGAGAAGATCAGTGGAAGATAGGGAAGCCAACAAAGGGTTCTGTTGAGGACCATCTTCCGGTGGAAAATCGCAGGTGCTGCTTGAACTACATGGTCTTCTGGTTCAAATCTCGGGAAATTGAGGCCATGCTGAAAGCCGCGAGAAAGGCTGATGTTTCTTCAATCTCCAAGGAGGATGACAGAGTATTGTGTAGGATCATAAAATGTGTGCATGCGTACACAAGTCGCTTGGCTTTGTCAGGCAAATGCGCCCAATCTAAGCGCCTGATGATTGACCGGTTCGGATATTGGAGTGGTGCATGGGAGGTAGGAGGGAGATGCGCTCTAACTTTTCACAAAGCACCGACAGCCGTGGCTCGGACCTTGCTAAGAGACGGGATAAATCGGCTATCGCGGTAGTAACTTGAAGACCCTAGACTAGTATTGCCTTGAGATATTCTCACCCACGGGGTACTCCGACAGCCAGTGTGGCGGTCCGACACGCCTAGCTGCAGACTTACACCGCGCCAATTGGTATCTGAGCCGCCCCTCCCCCTGTTCCTGATGTATAAAATCCTGGTCGGTGTACTTTGTGGACGAAGAGATGTGCTGGTATGGCTAAGTGAGGTTTTTCATTGTGCCAGCCACCTGTGTTCTCTCCCGCCCGCCCCCCGGTATTTTTGCCTCTGTCTTGACACCGGATCCAGTCGGAGGGGGAGGGGAGAGCGTGGTAGATGCTGCGCAAGTCTACTACCACTTCAGGCTAATTCACACACAAGTCACCGTCCTAGATCCGATCCTGCTGTGCTCTCGTCGGTCGGGACGGGGGTGTCCAGTTGGGGGTACCCGTGTGTGGGTGGTAGGTGACTGCTCCCCACGCTCCTTTGCTGACCCTAACTCACATCTGTGGCTCCCAAAGCTGGGCTCTGCCCACCCGCCACACGCCAGTAACCGCCTCTATTGGCGGGCTAAACCAGATGAGAGTATCCGGTGTTGTGTGCGTCCTCACACTCACTAATTCTCTTCCCATTCCCAACCTTCCCCTCCTTCTCTTTTTTCCCTTCCTTCTCATCACTTTCTTCCCTCCCCTCCTTCCCACCTACCCCACTTCCCTTTCATTCCCTTCCACTTCAAGAAATCCTGCGGAGAGGGCGACATGCAATCCGGCCTCTCTCCCACTAAACCAAGTCGTGGCCCATAGTGGAGTTAGGCAGCCGTCTGGGATGTCTCAGCAGTCCTATTTAGGGGCAGCACTACTCACTCCCGGGTCACGAAAGGGCTAGAAGATGCTCCCAAACAAATGCTGGGAAATCACGTTGTCTGAAAATATATGTGGCTCGCAGATGCACAACTCGCAGTCGAAACACACAATGAGACAACGACAACAACAGCCCCTGTCCTCACGCCCCGCCCAATCACACCGGCAGCTACAGTGAGTCCTCTCATTCTGGCGGCTTGAAATGTTCGTTCCTCTGCAGACAATCCTAGAAGCAACCGACGGGAACGGAGGGCGGAAGCAGTCGCTCGAAAACTGGCGCGGTACAAGATGGACATCGCTGCTCTCAGTGAGGCCCGCTTCTCCGAACAAAGCCAACTGGAGGAGGCGAGTGAAGGCAGGTGGCCGCTGAAGGCAGAACGACGCGATGCTGGCGTCGCCCTTGCCAGCCGGTATTACGTCATGAGAAGACTGCCTTGGGGACGTTGAACTTCTACCCAACAGGTCACATCATAGAGCCTCAGGTGTTCGATTCTTCGGAGTTGATTATGACTAGCTGACAAATAAACCAGAAATGGCCATTCCGGTCTCCCTAGTCTTTGTCGATAATCTCATTCTGCCTATATCATGCGCCGCTGTGCGACTGCTGGCTGGGCTCACGAGAGCCCGAAGGCACAACGGGAGGAGTGGGTTCCGTAAGAACGATCGGTGAGCGCCCCCTACCATTGTATATTCCCGATCGAAACCGACAGGGCAAGGGGCTCGTGGCCCGGTGGTCAGAGGCGTGGACTTCTAAAAGGTTGCCGGTTTGAGCCTCGGGTGTTCCACACTTCGGGGTTGGGTATGACTGTCTGACAACGACTAACAAGCCAGAAACGGTCATTCCAGTCTCCCATGTCTTTGTCGGTAATACCATTCTGAAGTCAACTGCCTCTGCGTATTTTCCTCCTCACTATAAACAACCTGAAGTGCTTGAATCTACCGCAGTGCGCTAAAAGCCGTGACCTGAATGGCTGCCAACTGATGGAATAAGTCGAACCTCGCAGTCGGCCCAATGTGTGTGTGGAATGACCGACTGGCGGACCAAGAGTCAGACTGCAATGCCTCTACAACACTCTCACCCGGTGTGATCCGAGCCTGATATAGTGACCGACCAATGCAACGTAGTACGCCGCTGCCGCACATCGTGGACTCATAGTAGACTGACTGCTGTCGTCAGGCTCCTTTGCACACCCAGATACGCACGAAGGCAGTGGATTTATACTTCGGAATAAACTCGCGGTTTCATTTGGCTACCTGGGGCTTTGTGACGGGAGATATCCGCTAAACAGAAAATAAAATCGATTGTCAACACTTGGTCAAAACTCCTGGCATCAGGTTGGAGGCAAAATATGAGCCCCCCTTCAGGATGATTTCCCTATGTGGAGGGCACATGCCGTACGCTCTCCGACCCCGTCTTTAACCAAGACCACCATGGCCGGTCGGCGTCCCTTCAGTTTCACCTCCTACTCGTTGGTGATGGACCGGTGTGTATCGATGGGGAAATCGTCTGATGGAATCCCACCCAAACACTTACTGATACACACCTCCCGCCCCCCAGTCTACCGGGCCAATGTGTCAATTAGCACGATCTCCCCTATAAATCTGCAACCAGTCGACTGAGATAGGAGGCGATTACATATGATGAGGCGAACCCTCTAGTAACCAGTCGTCTGAAAGAGTCGTTAGGGATGCTGTCATAGGAGCAAGCAAGATACTCCGTTCGCCAGTTACGAATTCTATCAGGGCTGATTAAATAACAAATAAACGAGGTCAGTGGTGATGGCAATGGTGTGACCGCCAACAGATATCTGTTTAGACTCTTGATTGACAGTCAGAAGACGTCAAGGCCAAGAAAGATGGCAAGTGCGTGAAGCACGTCCGGGGAGGCCTAAAGCGCTGCGCAAACAACTCTAGCGAGCTAGGGGACCAGGCCGCAAAACGCACGGTCCAAATCTTCTCACTAAGTTGACCACAAGCAAGTCCCTCTTAGGCAAACGCACAAGAGGACAATATCACCCACCTCTATCTCCTACATATGAAAATGAGTGTTCTTAAGAGTAGACGATAAGGTAAGGCTTCCAAAATAAAGACTATAAATTTCACAATAATAGCCCAAATAAGTAGTAGTTTGACCGACCGACGGCACAGGCTACACGTGATCAAAGGACAGTTGCTGCCGTGGAAATTACACAATTCACACCAGCGCATGCTTCTCCGAGTCAGCAAGCGTTCGGTGGGAGAACGCTGCAATACATGAGATGGCGGGAAAAGTTATCCACGCTTCTACGGGAAACAAGCGCAGAGGACGAGGGGTGCATCACAGACAGAGGTCCTGGGTGTTAGACTGGATCGACGGCAGAAAGATTATCGGCCGGCGTTCTGCATTCGCTTCATTCGACGTTCCTGCTTCTTCTGTTTCTTCTCGCTGATAGTGGGCGACTGATTGGGATCAAAGATCCAGGGAGCAAGGATATGCACCCAGAAAAGGTAGCACACGCGGCCGGGAACCTGTGGAGAGGGACCGGAAGAACGGCGAACGGTGAAGAAAAACTACATGGGCTGAGAGGAAAGTCAGGCGACTTGACGCGCGACAAGAGTGGATCAAGTAGGCTGGAGGCTGTGAGTTTTTTAACTAAAGACAAGTCAAACAGCTGTCAGGGCAGGGACTGAGCGTAAATGCAACATAACACTCACCGTTGCCTAAACTGCTGAGGACTTACGTCCGTGGACAGTATGATAGAAAGGTGTTCACCGGTCAGGTTCGTCTCGTTGTCTTGGGGCTCAAATTAGAGCCCTCGCAAGCAGTCGTATAAGCAGAAAGGAAGGCCAACAAAGAAAAGGGAGACTGGGATGGCTATTTCCGGCTTACTATCCGTCGTCAGCCAGTCATACCCGACCCCAGGTCTGGATGACTTGGAATTCGAACCCTGGTTCCTAATTTGTTGAGCGTCAAGTAGTCGAACAATATTTGACGGAGTGATTTGAGAAGCGATTCACCCACGACGTTGCACCCAAGAATCCCTCACAGTTTTCCAGAACACTAAGCTTACTTTAACCGCGTCAAGGCTCAAGAGGGGAAGGCGAATACTAATGGCCAGAGACGCGGGGAAGTTCAGTTAACCGATGAAGGTCGTTACTGGGGCATAGAATACTGAGATGACTATACATCGGTGATGGTGTTACTGATTTTGCTGATACTGTCATAAATTATTGCTTCGGTTAATCCTCCTGCCGCATTAGTAGACGTCAGAGTCAGCCCCTTTTTACGCTTTTTACCAAAGCTATTCAATTTAAAAAAGACTGTTTATCTGCCCAACTAAATTTATCGACTGCTCATCCGTGCCTACTTTTACACTAGCCCTGATAAGCAAGCATTTGGGGCGAGTAACAATAAGGTTGTTTGGGATGAAACCAAGTTCACCATTGAGAGTTGCAGGATAATATTGTTCAAGAACTTAAGGAAACGACCGATATTCCAATGGGGTTGGGTGTTGGAAAAATGCGGGGATTTAGGACCTCCAAAACTTACAAATAACAGCAGTAACCAAAAGCCATTGTGAATCAGGCTGAGACCTTGTACTATACAGCAGGCCAGAATCAGATCCTTTGCGTACCTGAGACGAAAAAAATAATGAGACCGGTTGGCAATTCTAAAAGCATTTTCTCACGAGGACATGGATGTGCAATCAAACTTCTAAGTTACTGTACCACGCATTGGGCGTCGATTTATTCGAAAACAAAATTAAAATAAATCTGCCTGAAATAGCAGAGAGCAGTAAGAAAAAATGAATCCGCTTAAATTGCCAGCAAACTTTCAGCAAGTTCACTAAACATCGAAATTTGCCAATTAAAAAGCAGACCTCCCGAAGCCATGATTGCGACCACAGGACATTTGCTCAATTAGTCAACTAAATGAACACACCCATAGCGGAGAAAGTGAATACATTTTCATTCCCTGGCAGCATAAACTTGTGGTGTCCCGACGTCACGTGGAAATCGGAGTGTTTCAGACCGTCAGGGGTGCTATAAATAGCATTTCCTGCTCAGCTGTGCACACATGTATGGAATCGAAAAATATACGGTCAGTCACATTTCCAAATGGCGTCTAAATATATGACTTATAAGGGTGGAGTGGCCAATGCTGCTGGCCCATTTTTGGTCTTCTTGTAGTAAGTACGAGGCAGCGATATTTGCCTCGATCTCAGGCTTTTAGGATATGGGAGACAACATAAAGGATATCCGCACTACCTACAAACTAAATAGATAGTGAAAACGCAAATACAGTAGCAGGCTCAGGAAGCAGATTTTGTGGCAAAAGCGCTGGCTATGATCACACAAAGTTGACTTACTCAGCAATTCCACCTGATCCAATGTTCAGATCAAGACCAGCATCGACGAGTTGACTAATTCCCCGCTCATTCTGCTCGAAAGTGGGTGTTGACATGTACGACATAAATTTGTATGAAGCCAAACTAGCAATGACGCAGAGTACAGACAAGACGACATATCGCAAGATGAACTTCTCCCAGAAGAATGCAGTCGTGAGAACGAAGAAAACGACCTGAATGAAGAATATCGAGGGGTGTCATTAAATGACGGTATGCTCAATTAAAAGGCAATGGTAGGTTCACACTGCGTGCATTACGGCTCCGGGCCAAAACACAGGAACATGATTCAAGCAAACTGTACCAGCGACTGAGGCGAGCCAACCCTGCCTTCTTGACGAAGTAGAAGGCTCTTTTGTCTGCATAGGTAGTGGTTAATGAGTTACTGTCTTTTCTAGCGTACTCATACTAACTTGATACAGCTGTGATCATGCCTGTTGTGGTCGGCCTTGATGATGTCCTCTGATGAGATGTCTAGTTTGAGGTATTTATGCTTGGTGAATAGGTCATGACACTCTGGGGTGGATCGACAGAGAGCACGGCAGTTCAATCTGGGAGCACAGCACTCAAGGGTATGGCTTAGAACCCAAACGTGGACGGTATCAGAGGTGTAAAGATGAGTACGCCTATACTAACTAGCCTTCTGTGTCTGACAGAGACAAAACTATTATTGAGTTTTAACCAAAGGGATGAATGCGTTGCCCAGTGCTATGATGCGCCAGGCAGCGTATACAAAGAAACGGTCCAGGCCGACAGGTGAATCGCGATGTGAGGCATTATGAAGTGACGACGGTTTGAGTGCCAAGATGTACGACCAAAGAGATGTCGCGGAGATACCTTGGCCAGTGCTTCCACAAATTGGAGGGCAGTTGATGTGCAGCAGGCAATATGGGCAAACAGACAAAGAAATTTACTTATTCGGCAAAATACTGACGCCGCGGTTTGTTGAGGGTTTGTCTAGCATCATTGAGCACACTTCGGTCAAACAGCAAGAGATGAATAAATATCCTAGATCAGTAATCAAAGCGTCGGAGTGTTGATTCCAGAGCCTAATGGAACATACCGGAGATCGCCAGGGTAGCAAAGCCCAACAACACACACCTCTCTCTAATCCATCAAGCCTCGCCAGAGTTCTCTCAAAGGCATGGGGTGAAAAGCTGATTTTGTCGATGTATGTTGGCAGCCAAAGAGCAGTCACTTTAATGAGGACACTAAGTGTTTACTATCTAGACGATAATCCCATGGGACTATCTGCTAGTGCACTAGCAGAGTGGAGACTGCAGTCGTCCAACCTAAATCTTGACGATCTAAGTGATAGCGAATTCCGAGACAGAGGGAACTGCAGATGTGGTTTTCTCATAAATACGACGAAAATGAAGTAAACAGACGAGTAAATTTGAGTGACAGTTGGGTGGGAAACAACAAAGGTTAGCAAATAAGAACATCAAATAAGACGTACATTTGTGGCCACAATGATATTCAAATAAAATTTAAGACAACTTTGATTGGCCTCATAAATAGTCTTCTGACTCTTTGAGCCCTCTTTCCCAGCTTTTTTAGAATTCATCACGTACACTGGCCGGTGAATTATCCAAAGTCTGTCTACGTGGAGGTTTAAACGTAGCTGATAAGTTCACGTTGCTAAAGCATGCTTTTATTCGGTATTGACTGTATTATTCAGGATCCCGCGTCTGTAGGTAAGTCATGGAGCCCTAAGCCGTATTTCAAATATAAGGGAGACGAAAAACTTGCAAAGATCTAAAAGCATGCCAATAACCGTGCTCTCCGTCGATCTTACGCTCTCATGTCTCGGTGCCACCTGCAGGCACTCCGTTCTGAGCAGGTGGGAGTGAGGCGTTCTAATGAGCATATGCCACCACATGGTAAAGCTACAAAAAACACCTGTTGCTTTAAACCGCCTGAACTTCAAGCCCTAGGTGAATGAACGACTCAGCAGTTTGATGCATAAAGGAAAGTGTTCCTCCATAGAATGCAATATACTCTTCTCTTTGCTGATGATATCTTTTTCGTTGTTCGCCGTGACGGCGGCATATTTCTGCAATTCAAATCCCTGCAACTCATTGAGTGGTATGGTTCTTGGGAGGATTTCTGATCTTCGCGTCCCATTTGCTGATTGTTGGGATATAGTTGTAGACAAGCCGGCTAATAACTCACAGAACAAAAACAATAAATTTCAGAACACAGTGTAACGCCCTTGACCTGGACAGGGTTGTTTGAATGCTGTAAAACTGTTGGCACGGACCTGGGATGGCGATGGTGTAACTGCGTGCTGGTGTAGACGGCCGATATCCCCTTCTTTCGCTACCGCCGACACCCCCTCCCTCGTCTCTTTTTGTCTCCCTAAATGTCGGCTCCCCCCTCGGCCCTTCCCTGCAGTTGCCCACAGGGCTGCGTCCCCACCAGCTGTTTTGATAGTATGTTAGGGTCGCCTCTCCATCCGGAGAAGCTATCGCATTGCAGTTTCTCATTCTACATGTACACTGACAATCACTACGCACATGTCCCGTGCCCATCTCGTGTTATTATACTATGGCCCTTACTCCACAACTCCTTCTCCTGCGTGTGAATGAGTATCAAGAGATGCTAATAGTTCTGTTCAGATCTGCCTTCGCCAGGGTCTCTTCTCAGCGATTCCTTACTTTGGTGTGTGCTACCATTGACGCCCTCGGCCGCTAAAACAGGAACAGTTTAAATGGACAGGGACACCAGTGCACAGGTCGAATGTGTCTATCTAGATTCTTTCACAACAGACTTCGCAGTATTGCTTGGCGACAGTTGGAAGCATCATGGAATGAGGGAGCCGTTTCCTCATGTTTTAACTGTTGCGATGTAATTTTTGGTGATTTTTTGTTATTTTCGATTAGTTAAGTGAATAATGTAAGTACCCTCCCGCCTGACTCGAAGAATTCGTTTGTTGATAGCACATATATGGGGCTCCTCCCACAAGTACGCTAATAGTGACACATGTAAAATAAACTGGACGATGTGTGTGCGAGAATCTATCGTTTCCTGAAGACTATCGGAGACGGCAGGCACGCCTAGCGTAACATTTGCGCGAGCACACTCTCCAGATTTTAAGCGGACATCGTCATATTCCTTATGTCGTTAATGTTACGCCATTGCTTTGTACCGTTGGCAAACGCGAGTCGGTCTGACTATGTAGCGGTTCGTCGCATAAGACGATCCACTATTATGAGAGACTGGATGGCAGCTACGAAAGCGTAATCCGTTGGTTAGTCCTTACTCTACACTTAGGACACGCACAGCCGGCAGGATAAAATAGAAAATACCGTTTTACTAGTCGATTGGTTTTAACGGGAAAACAAAGCACTAAAACAGTCACTAAGGTGTTTTGATATAACTTGTTACTGTCCACCGAATACGTCAACCGTACGCATAAAACTGTCGGATATAGTATCATGTAGGCAACAGGTAGATGCGGTAGTGAACTTCCGTCTAATTAGCACGGGATATTGCTACAATCCTACAAGAATAGGAGTTCTTCATCTTGAAAATCTTTGCCAATACCGCAAGGCAAACCTTTCTACGTCACATACCGCAAACTCTGAAAGCGCAGTGGTAGCCTGGACTAGAGGTCGGCCGCAATTCCCAGCGGTACTTAGACACTGTATGACATAAAAGAAGTGTTTAAAAAAACAGAGCAGGACGTGAATGCGCAATCTTGCCGAAATGACCCTTTCCGGACAAGTGTGACAACGCTTAACAGAGGACCAAATAGTTCAGTTGACTGTATTCCTAAATGCCAACCATCAGCCGCTTAATCATACAGCGCATCCCAATGACTGACGGAAAAGTAAGGTCCGAATATTATTAACGACTCCAAACAGGACAACGCCTGTTTATTGCAAAAGAGCTTGTGGCAGCCGTTACTGTGCCATTTTATCCGGCTGTATACGCGCCACGGCTGCGCACACTAACCCTCGATCTGTCTCGCTGCAATCCCATTCACCCAGCACTCCTGGTCGACTGTCTACCTGCATGTGGCAGTGCATAGCGGACTTTATGAAGGCTTAAGTGTGCGGGTCAGGCAGGACTGGTTTGTATGAGGTATTGAGTAAAAGTTTCGAAACGGGTATCATTAAGGCAGAATTTATATGCCAGACGAGGCCATTTATGTCAGAGTGGCGAACAGAAAGCCAGTCTAGAGGCGATAGGAACCCAGATGCGATCAGTTACGGTCGGTCGTGTCCAGCCGAGGAGGGGGTTAGGGAGATGCGATCGGACTACTGGTATATAGCGAAAACAGAGGGCTCTGCCAAGATCGTCGATAGAATAGAATAGAATAAGTTTATAATAGCGCCCCTTGGGCACTGCCAGTCTTCTTTGAATTCAGGAAAAAAATAAAACAAAATCATTCATTTAGACTGCACTTTGACTTCATTTGTTTTGGGATTCTGTTTAGTCAATAGAGCGCGAATTGAGAGTTTGTTTTAAGTTTCAAAAACGCGGGGAAAAATATCCGCAACGGTTTTAAAAAAGAACGATAAGTACAATATAAAAATGGAAGTGTGCAGTTTGCTAGTTTTTGGGGGCATGTATAATATGTCCTTCATGGAAATTAAAGAAATTTGATATCGGCCTGACCTTGAAATTCTTTTCGAGTTAAATAAATTTGAGCGTCCTCTAATTGCCGATTGTCAGTCTATCTGGTCAGCTGTTAAGGGGCGGTCGTACAATTCGCTTGTATTTTTCAGGAGGCTTGCCATGGTTGTCTGGAATAAGAGCTGGAAAAGATGAATACATACCAGGAGTATGATGCATCTACTGGTATGCCACAATCAAGGCTGTCAAAATCATATTAAATCGTGCATCATATTGCTCTTGTGAATGTGGCATTATAGGATTAGTGGTCAAGTGTTTACTATGATCTCATATAGTTGTATATACGTTTAATATATATGTAATATAGACTTTCGCACAATTAATATGCAGGGTTTTCTCAAAAAGGATATTATTATTAGCTCCTTAAGGGATATTTAGTGTCATATTACATAGCTGATTGGAACGACAAAATGAGAAAAGAGAAAATATCATTATCTTTTCTGTGTTTATCAATGATGCTGTCTTTCATAAATTTGATTGTTTTTAATGCTATGTTCCGGTATTATTCAAGCGACTGGCATCATCAGAGCCCTTTTGGTCCAAATTCTACATTAAAAAATTGACTTGAAAAATGTCCCATCTTATTCAAAAATAAATGTTTACTGTTAGTTAAAAGGAATTTCTCAGTTTTTATTTTACACTCGACCACAGCTCGACATTTCCGGATAGAACTTGGAAGAGCATTTCAGATAGTGGCATATCTTATGGAGTAGAATTTTGACCGTTGGGACCTTGTGAATTTAAATATCTTTATAATATCTTCGTTATTTCTGGTGTTTCTGGGGGCTTTTGGTTTGCTAGCTAATTCATTTTGGGAATATCTTGGTCATTAGTGACCTCGAATAGGAAGTTTAGACCATTTTTGAGTCTTCTGATCCAGAAGGGGTCGAAGACCGTGTTTATGATATAGTTCAAAGTATGAACACTGGGTGCCATCCCTTCTGGACAAAAATCTAGTAAGACGTCTCTGCATTCCTTCTAGTTTCTTTCGGCCGTCTGATGGCATTATGCTCAAAAAACTGAGCAATAATCTAAGAGAGGCAAAACGTACATTTTGGAAAGTTATATTCTTAGTGCATTTAAGGTGAAAATTTACATATGAATCCACACGGGCGAGTGGCTTGCGGTAATATTTGTTGGACGTGGGGGGATAAGTCAAGGATACTTGTATAGCTGAGACCTAAGTCTTTTATTGAATGGGCTTCCGTTATTTAATTATCCTCGAATAATATGGGGGAAGTTTTTGTGGGCCAAATATCAGGGGAATGGCATTTTTCGGGTGAAAAGGGCATCTGCCATTGACTACTCATTCGCTGAGTTTTCTGAGCTCGGTTTCAATTGTTCTGTGAATATTGACTGCTGTACTCCCATTATATGCATATGCAAGGTCCAGTTCGTCCGCATATAAAAACATCTTAGCTCAGACAGATATGGACTATAAGTCGCGAATACATATGAGAAATAGAATGGTGCCTAGGATAGTTCCTTGCAGTACTCCACTGGTAATAGGGGATGGTTGTGAGACTACTTTTCGAATTTGCACCACTTGATATCGGTTGTGCAAATAGGATTTGCTAAATTCGAGGAGAGGGGCTAATTCTATGACCCTCTAGCTATTTCGGTAGTTTTGTGAGGGGCTTTTTCAAAAGAATTTTTTAGATCGAAGTATATCGAAAATATTGTGTTTCCATCGTCTCTATTGCTGGTCACGAATTCCATAAAAGTGAGATGGCAGGACTGACAGAACGTTTTATGTAAAAAGGCATGTTGACAGGAAGGAATGCGGTTGACGTTTGTGAGATGGTCTAGAAATTGGTTGTGGACTATTTTCTCGAGGATTTCAGCTATTGCCAGTGTGCGGTGAACACCACGATAATTTTAGGTATGAGATCCTTTGGCGCTTCTAAAGATATGTGCAATAGT